GTATTGAGAGTTTCATTACCTTTGCCTCTTGCCAAACTTTGGGTATTTATAGGTGGTATGAACCGTGAGATGTGGGACACGTGTATACATCTGACGATATGAAGCGTCTACTCATAGGCGTCAATCAGCCGCGCTTGTAGAGTGGACGGACAGTTTGTTTCCCCTGAGTTGAATTGACATAAAGTTGATAAGTCACATCAAATAGCCTCATTGGGACGTCAAATCAATTTAAACCTTATATGCAGAACAAATCTTAAATTGGCGGCGGATCTTCTAACCGGGGTTCACCTGAACCCGACCTCGGAGTTGGGATACTTCGGCAGATCAGTAGTAGGAATCGGTGTATCACTTCGGAGAAGCTTCGAGAAGGTCGGAGTGGTCTATTTGATCTCGGCTTCGGTGGTGAGATGACACTTCGGTATCGAGGCTCGTAAAATGAGGCGTAACAGTGGTCCCCCAAATCCGGGAATGAATATTTATATTATACGTGGATTTGTTTTCCTGATCGGACCGCGGCGTGGGGTAGCTGAAACTTTGTAAAGTATGGGAGGAAGCGCAGCACCGAGGCGATGAGCCAATGGGGCGTTCGCGTCAGGTGCGTCCAAGCTTCATAAAATTTTAGGGACTCGTCTCGCACCGAAGCGTTGGCGGGAAAAGGTCGACGCGTGGGGAGATGGCTGAAACTTTGTAAAGCATGGGAGGAAACACAGCGACCGAGGCGATGAGTCAATGGGGCGTTCGCATCGGGTGCGTCCAAACTTTGTAAAGTTGGGGGAATCGTCTCGCACCGACGTGTTGGCATGAAAAAGTCGACGCGTGGGGAGATGGCTGAAACTTTGTAAAGCATGGGAGGAAACGCAGCGACTGAGGCGATGAGTCAATGGGGTGTTAGGATCGGGTGCGTCCAAGCTTTGTAAAGTTGGGGGAGGAGATCATCAGAGGCGACCCAAAAGTCCAATGATTTGACAACTGTTGCGTGTTTCCAAGGTGACAGTTGGGTACCATGCCCAGCAGTGGAGTCCACCAGTTGATCAATTCTTGGAAGTGGGAAGCTGTCCTTGGGACATGCCATATTCAGGTTTGTGAAGTCCACACAGACCCTCCATTTCCCGCTGGACTTTTTCACTAGAACCGGGTTGGATATCCACCTCGGATATATGGCCTCTCTGATGAAACCACTGCGATTAAGTTTACTTACTTCGTCTTTCAGCGCCTCGTACCGTTCCGGGTTTAGGGCTTGCCTCTTCTGTCTATGGGGGGCATAGGAGGGGTTGATGTTAAGGTGATGGCAACTGATCCTGGGATCTATTCCCACCATATCCTCATGTTTCCATGCGAAGACATCCAGGTTTTCTTTCAGGAATCGTATCATCTCAATTTTTGCTTCATGCGATAATGACTTCCCTATGCGCAAGACTTGATTGGGGTCTTCTGAATTGACTGAGAAAGTTTCCAGTTCTTCCATTGGGGTCGCATGTGGTTCATAATCGATTATTCGGGGGTCTAGCTCATCAAGAGGGTGTCCTTGTTCAGGGGCCTCTTCCATTACGACATCTTCCTCTTGTTCAGAGGTATGCCCTTGTTCAGGGGCATCGAGCATTTCCACGTCCGTACCGACTTCAGCAGGTACTTCGGCTAGAATTACATTGACAGTTCGGGGCTCAGATTTACGTAGTGAGTTCAGGTAGCATGCCCTGGAGCCCATCTGATCACCCCGAACCGTTGCAATCCCACGTTCGGTTGGGAATTTCATGCACAGATAGTGAATGGACGTCACAGCCCAAAGATCTTTTAGAGCAGGTCTGTCCAATACTCCATGATAAGCTGACCTATGATCTACCACCAGAAATTCCATGAAATGCTGAGCGACCAGGGGGGCCGAACCCATTTCCACAGGCAGGGTAATCCGCCCTCGCGGGATGATGCTGTCCCCAGTGAATCCGAACAGTGGGTCGGTCATGGGGATTAACCCATGTTCAATTTACATTTTGTCAAAAGTGGAGCCGAACAATATGTTCACGGAACTGCCGTTGTCAACGAGCATGCGTTTTAATCCGTTTCTAGCCACTACGGCCCTTACAACCAAAGCGTCGCAATGGGGATGGTGAACTCCCTCTGAGTCTTCCTGTGAGAAGGTGATTGGGGCCATCTTGTTTGCTGATTTTGATTCGTCGACAATGTAGGTGATCATCGGGGGATCCTTAGCTTCTCTCGTATAATTTCTCTGGGCATTCCTTGTGTTGCCACCGACGTGGGGTCCCCCAATGATGGTATCGATTTCCCTGATGACCTGGCTTCTAGCGAATTGAGCTTGGTTTTCTTGCCTGGATTGGCCTCGGTTTCTTGATTCTCTTCTGCGAGGAGATTGTTCTTGGTGACCCCTTCCTCCCCTCCTCGGGGAGGTGGATCTGCGGGGGTGCTCATTTCTGCTGAAAGTGTGGGGGTTGCTTCGATCAGGGCGCCGGTTGGCATCCCAACACTCGTTGGTGTCATGCCCGTATAGTTGATGGAAAGTACAAAATCTTGCTCCTGGCAAGGGCCTGTTTGGCCTCTTTTTCTTCTTCTTGTTGTTGTCAGTTCTTCCAGATGGTCCTGCCTCAGCGGGTGCGTTATCATATGCCAACACCGGCACTGCGTTCAATGTTGCGGAAGCTAGGGCCTGTCCGGATGTGGGAGCTATGGTATGCCCCGCTTGGGTCCATTGCTGAGTAACAAGGTGCACTGCGGGGCCTCGACCTACCTGCCTCTGTGGGGGAGGGAGTCCCTGCGCGGCACGGTTACGATGATCAATCATTTCTTCACTAATTATTTCCACCATCATCATCTCCACCAGCTCGTCATATGTGGAGGGATTCTTGCTGCGCACGTCCCTCCAAAACAAAGTGTTCATGTTGAGACCACCTTTCAGGGCTGAAAGGGCTTCCCTGTCAGTGACCTGTTCGCAGTAAGTAATTTCGTCTGTAAACCTGGCGAGATAGCTTTTCAGCGTCTCTCCAGGGGCCTGCCTCATGTCTTGCAGGCGTTGGATTGGCGACTCTCCTTCCCTGCGTGAGAGGTACTGGTTCAAAAATGCTTTCTTCAAGTCCGGCCAACTTCTGATGTTTAGGAGAGGAAGCTTGCTGTACCACACCTCGGCGGCTCAGCCTAGTGTTAAATGGAAGGCTCTGCACTTTAGAGCAGGTGAGGCTCCCCTAAGACTCATTTGTGTCATATACTTTGTGAGGTGCTTCTTCGGATCCCCTTTTCCCTCATACTTGGGGATCTTAGGGGGCATGAAATTAGTTGGCATTGGGAAGCTTCGGATTTCCCTTGAGAAAGGGAGGTTATCGTCATCGTCGTCAATCTCATAAGATCGACAGGGCCCCTCTAATCCTTGATCATCTTGGATGTCTTGGGGTGGAGGAGGTGCTTTCCCCCGGCTCCCCCAATCGACTAATTTTCTCCTCTCCCTCCTATTTCTAGGAGGAGGAGGAGGAGGAGAAACATACTCTTCTTCGTGGTCTGACCGGACCGACCCTCTTGAAGGGCGGACCCTATTGCTAGGATCGTTCCCTATCCGGTCGAAGACGCTTACTGACCTCTGGTCATCGTGTTCTTGAGGAAAGTTGTCCCCCAAGAGTGGTTCTGATGGATGGCTCTCCTGCACATGAGATGTCGCTTCGGTGTTACCCTCTCTTTCGAGAGGACGTTCTGTGTGCCGGCTCATGTGGCCTCGAGAATGAGACAAAGGGATTTCCTGTACCGGATACGATCCTTGGGGCATCTGGTGTCCCTGGGCTTGCATGAGAAGTTCCCGCATCGCCATATTCTGAGCTGCTATGTCTCTCATGCCCGCAGCTATCTGGGCCATTCCTTCAGTGAGTATGGCTGTTCTTTCGCCTCGTCGACGCCAGTGATGCGGTCTCTGATGAGTAACATTGTTATGGAGTACCTCTTCTTCAGAGGCCTCTCTGATGGGGTTGTCTTCACGACTGTAGCTCATCCTACCTCTTCTTTCAAGGATAGTAAGAACTTGGATTGTAATTCGACTTTTGTTCTTTTTCAAGAATGCCCCCTTTTCAGGGTCAGTCGCCGATTTTCCGGTGTCTTCTCCGATGGGGAGTGTAAAACTTTAAATGGGGAATGACGTTTCCCACAGACGGCGCCAAGCCGTTGACCTCCAAAAATGGCTCTTCCACGTGGCCAACTTATAGCTACTCCACGTATTCCTCTCTGCGAAATGAACAAATAGTCAGGCGCACACGGCCGGAACCGACGGGGGTGGCGGCCGTATACACTCCGACGGTCAAGTCAAGTTTGGGTGGTCGGAACAGTGCCCTGAGGCTACACAAATCAATCAATAAAGGGGGAGGAGAATATATAAACTTGTTATGGAATGCTATTTATTGAGAGTTTCATTACCTTTGCCTCTTGCCAAACTTTGGGTATTTATAGGTGGTATGAACCGTGAGATGTGGGACACGTGTATACATCTGACGGTATGAAGCGTCTGCTCATAGGCGTCAATCAGCCGCGCTTGTAGAGTGGGCGGACAATTTGTTTCCTCCGAGTTGAATTGACATAAAGTTGATAAGTCACATCAAATAGTCTCATGGGGACGTCAAATCAATTTAAACCTTATATGCAGAACAAATCTTAAATTGGCGGCGGATCTTCTAACCGAGGTCCACCTGAACCCGACCTCGGAGGTGGGATACTTCGGCAGATCAGTAGTAGGAATCGATGTATCACTTCGGAGAAGCTTCGGGAAGGTCGGAGTGGTCTATTTGATCTCGGCTTCGGTGGTGAGATGACACTTCGGTATCGAGGCTCGTAAAATGAGGCGTAACATTTTTATCCCATTTTTTTTAATCACAAAATTTTAATAAAATAAGATTATACTAAATCTAAAAGTCTTCATTATTTTTTATTCATAGATTTTTCAATAAAAATACTATTCTATCCTAAGAAATTCATTGTTTTACCCAAAATGGGCTCAAACAAATTATAAAATACGTAAATAATATAAACGTTTTACAGCTGCAAGCACGGAACCAATCACTTCAATCATTTACACTTTGGTATTCTCAGCTCCACTTCCCTCCGCCCGTGATGGAGGCGGCGCCGCTTCTTAATCGGAGCTCCGGCGAGTTGCAGCTTTTCGAAGATGATGGCGATTATCTCCCAATAAGAGGGCTGAAACCATGGTGGAGAGTTTTCTGCGTAGAGACTGCGAAACTATGGAAAATCGGTGGCCCAATAGCCTTTCAAATTCTTTGTCAATTCGGAAGTGGGTCTGTCACCACCATGTTTGTTGGCCACCTTGGAGATATCGAACTCTCCGCCTTCTCTATTGCTCTGTCCGTTGTCGGCACCTTCGCATTCGGTCTCCTGGTTAGCCCCTCTACCCCCATGCATATATACTTATATAGCTATATATAGATATACGCAAATGCATATACTCATGGAGGTTGCGCCTTTTTTATTGATGCAATTATATTGTTATTAGTATCATTTAGATCAAAATCTTGTGATCGTAATAAACTATAAAAATTAATAAGTTTTGATTATTGCAAAGGGTGAGGAAACGGTGCTGTAGTAAGTTCGTAAGTAAATCAAATATGCAAAGTGATAGGGAAAAAAAATTAGTTAAAATAAAATTGTTAGTCTTTTAGTAAAGAATTTTGCTATTTATACAATGGTGTTGACATTCTCCTCACACAAGCGAGGGCCCACGTCCAAAATAAAAGAAAAAGCGTGGGCCCCTCTTGTGTTAGGTGTATGAGATGCTGCTTCTGGATGTATCTTTTTCTTCTTGTTTTTATTAAGCTGAATATATATTTGTACAATAGCCTTCTGAAAAACTGCTCCTGCAGAAGTACATCACGTGGTTCAATTCCAGATTTTACTTTTAGGCACCTCTTTATTACAAATAAAAATTTTGATTCTGATTCTGATGCTGATGCTGATGCTGATGCTGATGTTGATAATGACTGTAATGAATCTGGAGCTATTTAATTGCCTTGTATAGAGATTTTATCCAGAAAAAAGAAAGTGGGACAGAAAAGGACATATCTGTTTGTTTATCTGCCATATAAGTGGGTTGTTTTGCCTCTCAAATGGCCTTTGCAACGAAGGTTTAGTAGATTTTGATAAAATTGAAGAAACTTCAAAGAGATGTGGAGTTAAAGTTGAAGTCTAACCCGTTGAAAGTTAGATCAAAATTTAGCAACATTTTATCAACAAGTACTTAGTCTAATAACATGTTATGTGAGAGTATTCTTATTCTTGTCATCCATCTATGATGGACAGAAACTTTAAACAGGATAATGTTAAGAGACACGTTTTGGAAACCCAAAACTAAGAATTGATTTGGATAGGAATCCTAGGACAAAAATTTCAAGTTTTCCATTTTTGTTCTTGTCGTATACACTACTTTCATTCAAGATTCAATATATTATTATTATTATTATTATTTATTTTTTATGACGGGGGAACCCGCAGCCGCTACCTTTCGGTTGCGCATTAGGTAGACCCTCGGGTTGACGCAATAGCCTATAAACCACACCAACCAGGTAAACCGCACCAGGCAAGCCCTGTGCAATAGGAAGATTCAGTATATTTATTATAATTAGTGATTGATATGACTTTGCCTAATCTTGAAATTCGAGGCAAAAACTAGCAAAGCCTGATATTGATTTTGCAATGTTTCTAGCTCGGTATGGGGAGTGCCCTTGAGACGCTATGTGGTCAGGCATTTGGTGCTGGACAAATTCATATGCTTGGAATATACATGCAACGCTCGATAATAATCCTATTCGCCACATGTGTTCTCCTTTTGCCACTCTATGTGTTTGCAACCCCAATTCTGAAACTGCTTGGACAAGAGGACGCCATAGCAAATCCCGCAGGATTATATACACTTTTGATTGCCCCTCAATTGTTTTCCCTCTCTGTCACTTTTCCGACTCAGAAGTTTCTTCAAGCCCAGAGCAAAGTCCTCGTGCTTGCTTGGATCGCAGCTTTTGCATTGGTTTCACAAACTTTTCTATGTTGGCTATTTATTTATGTATTCGGCTGGGGAACAATCGGTGCATCTGTAGCATTCGACCTTACAAGTTGGGTCACGGCCTTTGCACAATTTGGTTATGTGGTTGGTTGGTGCAAGGATGGTTGGAAGGGATTTTCATGGGCAGCATTTAAAGATTTATGGGCCTTTGTGAGACTCTCCCTTGCATCTGCAGTCATGCTATGCCTCGAGATATGGTACATGATGAGTATTGTTGTACTAGCTGGAAATTTTGACAATGCCGTAACTGCAGTTGGTTCCCTTACCATTTGGTGAGTTTAACAAGCCCATTTTTTATGGCCTCCTAGTGTCATGATTTTGGAAATTTGAGATATAAAATTTCACTAGCTCTCTTCAATGAATGGTCTATTTTAGTTATTCCTCACCTACAAATAATTTTACCATTGATAAGTCATGACCCCATGCACATTTCCAGTTTACTGTATGCCAAGTGATTTGAGTGTTATTAATTGTTAGTTTGAATAGAAAAATAAATCTATGTGTTCACTTCTACCATTGTTTATAGCAAGTCACTTGAATTTGTACTAATCTTCTACCGTAACTTTTATAAAATGGTAAATGATTTGTATTACAAGCCTTATATTTTGTATATACGATTTCTTTTTCTGATGCTATTTTTTTCTTCTGGTTTAATCTTTCAGCACGAACATTGATGGGTGGGAAAGCATGTTGTTTATTGGAGTCAATGCTGCTATAAGGTAAAAAGCCAGAAGATGCATTTCAACACTTCTCTTTCGTTTTTGACATAAATTTTCTGGAAATTTCCGTTAACCACCATTCGCAGGAAAAAATTTTCATTGCATCAACCACTCTGGGAAAATAAATATGAAGAAACATTTTCCATTAAAAAAATTATGTTGAAACTCCTTGGCCATCTCTCTCTCTCTCTCTCTCTGTATGCTGATTTCGTTTTTTATTGTCTACTATCCCTTAATGATTTTGCTGCTAATTTTTCCTATTCCAGCGTTCGAGTCTCGAATGAGCTTGGCTTAGGACATCCAAGAGCAACCAAATATGCTGTCTATGTCACAGTCTTTCAGTCACTCTTGATTGGGATTTTGTGCATGATTATTGTCTTAGCTTCAAGAAATCATTTTGCCATTATTTTTACTCATAGCGAACCTATGCAACGTGCTGTTGCTCGCCTTTCGGTTTTCCTTGGAGTTACAATGCTTCTCAATGGTGTCCAACCAGTTATATCAGGTATTGGTTCAATTATTTATACTACAAAATCATGTTCCATTGCTTTCCATCTTAATCTTTTTTCGAGCCATTTTGCAGGTGTTGCCATTGGAGGTGGGTGGCAAGCCCTGGTAGCTTACATTAACTTGGCTTGCTATTATGTCTTTGGTCTTCCTTTCGGATATTTTCTTGGCTATGTGGCTAATTTTGGAGTGATGGTAAATGAATTTTTACTTGAACCTCTTTATTATGCTAATGTGCATCTTAAGTCCAATTCTAGTGAGATTTGGCAATTCCTCATTAAAGGATGAGTTGAATTTGAATCAGAGTTCTAAGAATTTTACTCATCCTTTGCCATCAAGTTTGCAGCTATAACTTGGTATATCTACACTTGTTGACTGCAATTCTATAATTTTATGTGAGACGAGCACTGATATTATTATTATTATTATTATTATTATTATTATTATTATTATTATTATTATTATTTTTCTCTTAACAAAACCGTTAAAAGAATCTTAAACTAATCCCCTACATTTATGGGTGGGTTTTTTCCTTGGTATAATGTTACCCAATTTCTCATCATTTTAATTTTCCACGAAATTTGTATTTGAATTCGTTTTTATCAATTCCTGTGCTATTGATTTCTTTGTAGGGACTATGGGGTGGCATGATAGCTGGAGTAGGTCTGCAGACCTTGCTCCTGCTGCTGGTACTTTATAAAACCAACTGGAACAAGGAGGTTCGTTTAACTGTTTCTTCACATAACTGAGAATCTTGGTCGTAAATGTGTCTTTCACATGTTAAGGATGCTTGTGCGCACACATGTAGGATGATGTCACAGATTATTTGACATTTCTTAGTTTTCATTTAGATTTAAAATAATCTTACTAGATATAAAAGAACTCCTTTCACTCATATTGAGAAATTATGAATTGTAGGTTGAGCAAACAACAAAGCGCATGCAGAAGTGGGGAGGGCAAAATGTAACGGAGAAATCACAAGGTGATCAGCTTCCATCAAAACATGGAATTACTTAAAGGTTAAAATGTTGGGAATCTACTTATACATGCACAGCGGAATTTAAAATAATTTTCGATTCCCACCAAGAATCGCCTTTGTGTTTAGATAGAAATTGTGATAAGATTGTACCTTTTCCGATTTGCAATCCTTTTGCTTTTCTTTTCATTCCATAACTTTGATTCGCCACCACAGTTGTCCAATTGTCCAGCCTCCAACGGTGATCCACACAGAGAATATGATTGCGGCCTCTAGGGTTTTTTTTCTTGTGCTAGCAAGAATAATGAAAACCCATATGGACCTCAAACCCTAGTTATGTATTTATATAAATCCAAGCAGGCTCGGCCCGGTCCGGTCCAATAATTAATTAATCCAATTAATTAAACCCGGTCCGTGAATTAATTAATCTAATTAATTAATTCGAAAATATAAATAACAAATTCAATTAATTAATTTATCCAACGATTGTTAAATTAACTAATTGGCAATTTGCAATCTTCCAATTCTCTTTTGTGTGTGACCCATTAGGTTCCCGACCACGATGCCTAACGACGTGAAATATTATTTTGATCTAATCAAAATTGATAAATTAAAACACCCTTTTAATTTATCGTCAATTCACATTCGTCGTCCCTGATTGACATCTAGCAATGTGTCAGAGCAATACATGTGACGGGAAATGTCACGTGGTATGACAAAACCAAATTCGTTCGTTTACCGTGAAACTATAATCCCTTCGTCAATATGATCCGATCAATTACGAGATATGGAGTTGTGTCAATCTCGATCATCGATCATATCTTTCACTCCACTATTAAGTCAATATAAGTCGAAAACTCCTTTTCGACTTATGAGTACACCTTGGCCAAGGATTTCATCATCGACTTAATTGAATGAAACGCAGATCATAATCTCCTACTATCTAAGAGTGACGAATCCTTTATTGATCAATCACAACCTTCATACGGTTCTTGACGTACCCGAACGATGTCGTATTAGCGGCCCTTTTCAGAGCAACATCCAACACCGCCAAAGTATGACTGTCCTCATATAAGGTACCATGACGACCTCAAGTCAAAGGACCAATTTCACTACCGAACGTTAGAGATTAACCACTGACA